GCAAAGGTTCTCTTCATCTGTCTCTGTGATCATCCCTGGGAGCAGAGGTTTTGCTCTTTCCCTGGGGGCCAAGGGTCTTTCTCAGCTCTCTCTCTCTCTGTTCAAGCATCTCATGGGATCACTGTCTGCTCTGCTTCATCAATGGATACCTTTGCTCAGATTTACACTTTGAATACTTCATTCTCCCCAGTACTCTTTCATGAAAGAAAGGAGTTATTTTCAGAACATTATTGTCCATCTCCATGGCCCCACCAAAAGAATATTTCAGCTGATAAGAGCATCTCCTCATTCTCCTTCCATCTGACGCTTGAATTTCTTTTACTGACCATGATGCTTTATGGTTTCTCTCTCTCTGTCGATTACTCTTGACTTTTCTCTCACTAGAGAGGCAATTAAAGTCTGCAGATCTCATCTGTGCAGTGAAAGAGTTAAATCTTGCCCAGGCCACGGCTAGGTATTCATGGTGTCAGATTTCAGCTGGGCAGCCCCTGGAAGGCAGTGGATGGTTTTCAGCCTGGAGCCGTCTGTGCGGGCCAAGGGGGGCGAGATGTCAGCAGCCGTGGCCCGGCCCAGCCGGGGCCAGGGGTCCCCCTGGAAATGGCTTCAGCCACCCCGCTGGAATGGGAGCTGGAGGGTTTCCCAGGAGGGGCCAGAGCAGAGCCTGGCCTGGCCTGGGCGAGGGGGTCCCGCACTCTCCATCCCACGCCCGGGAGCTGCTGGAGTCTGGCCCAGCCTCCCCCAGGCCGCACAGGCCGCGGGGGAACCGGGCCAGCCGCACCAGAGCTCCGATACCTTTCAAGGCTGCAAACAAAGAGACAAGAAGTTGCCGGGCTTGGCTTTCAAAGGTGGTATTCACAAAGGTGAACATAGTTTTCAGTGCTGCAAAAAGCTGTCAGTCTCAGAAGTGGCCAGCTGTTGGCCTGGTCTCAAGTAGAGAAGAAACTCCCAGCAGCCTCACTCAGAGAAATCCTGTCCATGGATGTTTTCCACTTTTTTCCTAAATGCCAAACTACCACATTCTCTAAGGTGTTCTTCTGTAGAAATGTATGTATTTTAAAATTATTTTTAAAGCAGCTACTTTTATTATTTAGAAATATGACTGAAAGTAGATAATGATGCTTTGTGAGTTGCTATTCTTCCCTGGTCTTAGTGGAGGCTGTGATGTATCTATCACAGATATTAGATTAATAATAAGAAGAATTAGGTATTTATAACTGTGTAAGGCATAAAGGAAAAACTGCTATGTATAAACCCCCCACCTTATATCGTGGTAGAAATTAAAAATCAGAAACCAATTTGTAAAATAAAGTTATTTAAGGAAGTGGTTTTGAACAAATGAAATGTTTCTGGAATGCTTCCACTGGTTCCAACACCTCCCAAACTGCCCTGGCACTGGCAGCATTGGGATCAAAGAAAGAGGTCAGTGGTGAATTTGTATGTGCCTGGACAGTACCTAGAGCATTTGAAATGATATCTTCAGGCTTAAGTTGAAGTAGATGCAACTCCTGAGTCCTTCATTCGAGATAACTCTCAAAATTAACTTTTAGAAAATAATGCTTTGAAAAACAGGTTACACCCCTCATTCTTGCAGTCCTAGATAGGTGTGTCCTTTTCCCAGAGTAGCACTAAGCTTTATAGAGACTGAGAAAAAAAGTTTTCAGCACTAGTAAAGTTTTCCACATGAAAGTCGGAAAACCTTGGTTATTGTCCTTAGGCCATGGTGTATTGGTTTTGAAAAAAAAACCACTAGAAAATAGGAAACAGAAAGTTAGAAAAATTGAGAAAAGTTCAAAAAATTAGGAAGTCAGAAAAGAAAATAGAAAGTTAGAATAAAGAATAACTATTTAAATAGGCATGTTCTGAAACATTTGTATGTTTTTCTTCTAGTGTACCTTGACTAAATGATGTATTTTTTAAATTGAATATGTAAAATTTTGATAAAAAGAAATAAAAAAAAAACCCACTTCTCTAATCAGTCTCGCGTGATTACTTATGGATATATATTAGCATACTTGTTTGTTACACTGGAGATACTTTTTGTAGCTTCTTAGAATCATAGAACCATACTGCCTTGGGTAGTATGCTCCTACTTTGTTCCCCTTGCAGAGTTAGATCCAAGCTACACCAAATGCCCTGAGCTCATACAATCATTTTTAACAGGTATATAAAGCAGCTTTCCAGCAACTATCATTTACTGAATTGGTGTCATTCTAATTGTAAAATTCAGAAGGTCATTTTCCATATAAGACTGTCGCATTTTTTATTTCTTCCTGTTTGGAATAGAGCGTTTTTTTATTTCTCCTTTGGTTTTTAGGGATGTGGACAGAAATGACAGCCAGAAACACACAGGTCTAAGGAGTATGTGGACATTACACATCCTAAAGGCAGTTGACAGCAAGAGTGAAATGTGACCCAGAATAAGGATGTGCCTCTAAAACCTCTGTCTCAGCCCACACTCTCAACAGCAGCACTCTTGCATGCTCCGTCCACCAGCAGCAGTCCCCAAGTGCCCAAGGGAAGGCACCCCAGCAGAATTCACCCCGTGCTCCCCACATCACCGTTCCTTGTGCTGCTGCACTGACGAGCTGTAGGAGCAGCCCCTGGCCCTGACAAAGCAAGACCCAAGTCTCAGGGTTTATAGAGGTGACATTTTCTTGAACTTCACTTGAACGGAAGGACAACAGATCAGGCGTTCAATGACCAAACACCCCAAGATGTCTCACATACAGGAGGCTTAACATTGTTGGCATGCAGACAATTGAGGAATTGGTGAAATAGTCTCCAAGAAAGAAAGGGGCATTCACAGCCCCTTTGAATGTTCCCAGATATTGTCCTCCCTCAGTCAATTTCATATCCTTCTCCAAAAGAAGGTTATGGCATTGCTGGACACACCTCTACCCTTTCAGCTGAAGAAATTAATGGCACGAGACTTAGGTAAAAGACAAGACTTCAAAATCCCTTTAGGTCTGTGCAGGAATCAATATCTGTGTCTCTCTAGAAAGACTGGTTGTGACCTATTATGTTGGAAAAATCTACAAAACAGACAGAGTATTCATAGGGATACATTAAACTAATTTCTCTTTAAAACCCCTTGAAGAGCCTTGCCTCCAACACTTCTCCTTGTGTTTTACAGAACACTTGCAAAAGATCTGGATATTCCTTGGCTCACTAACAAGATGAGGCCATGATCTCCAAGCAGTCCTGGCAGCTGCTTCAGCTGACAGCTTAGAGCAGCCCATAACACATTCCTCTGTAACCCTCCCAAACAAGCTGACTGGGGGAGGGGGTTGTCCAAACTCCTACTCTTTGGACCACTTAAGGCAAAGAGTGTGCATTAAGGAGAACGGTTGGAAAACACCCCTATATGTATCATAAAGAATTTCCATTTCCTCTAATATTTTCTTAAAATGTGGGCAACTTCATAGTAGAGGTACTGGGCCTCAACCCGTTCCTGATAAATTTATTTCAGTGGACAAACCTACATCTTGGAGAAATTTCTTTGAACTAATCCTATATTTTTTGGAATTAACCTACTCTTTATTGCTAACAGAACCTACTGTTCAACACTAATGTAAATAAGCCTAAAAACCTAATCTTCTAGTTGAAATAAAAAATCCAGAGTTCATAGATATTTCTGGCTGAAGCAGTTGCCTGGTGCCAGGACTCCACTTAATGCTTGTCAAATTCAGATATGAGGCTCTGAATATGTGACAGCTTGTTGTGGAGGTACAGGCACCTGTTCTTCATTTCAAAGTAGCTGGGGCTACCCTATGAAGGAGAAAAAAAAATAAAAAAATTAGGGCATGCAAAGACTTCTGCAGAGTTTACAAGATGTGCTTTGCTTTAAAAAAGCCTTGAGCCTGACTCAGCAGTAACCAAGCTCTGCAGATCTGGTGTCAAACATACCTGTTGTATCTGCTGATAATCTGCTAGGATTCGATGAAGCAGCATCTTCAAGAAAAAACACAAAGAATGTTTCACTACCACCATAAAATGCAAACTTTACTAAAGCACTACAAATGCATTCCGTTTGACTCCCGAGATTTTCTTTTCTGTGAGCCACCACTCTTCTGGGAGGTTTGCAAAAACAAATCCCCAACTCCCAGTATCACCCAAGATCTGCAATTAAGCCTCTCAACAGGCACCAGAAGGAGCACATGCTCTAAGACTCTGCTTGGGACACCTCTCACCCTACGGATTGTTCTCAGACAGCTCAAACAGGGTTTTATGGGCAGGGTCTTGTGAAAAATCTGACCCAGCCCAAGCAGTGTCTGAGCATATATGCCAATTCCTCAGTTTCCCTGCATCTCACTGAGCAGCTCCAGGGAATCCAAAGGACTGCTCTGATGAAGCACAGTCTTCATGGCTTTATCCTTCTCTACCTGATGGGCTTCAGAGCCTGCGGTCACAGACTTCCATTGTTCCTGAAGCTGTGTGAAGTGCTCTCTGATCTTGTCAATCCGAGTATATAAATTTTGGTATTCCTCATACTCTGCACTGAAGTCATCCTTGTAGCGCTGGCATTGGTCCAAGGAGACTATGGCTACGTATTTTCTAACGGAAAAATCAGACTATTTTTCTAGGAGTGTACTCTAAGAGAACATTCTGATATGTTTCTATTCCAGAAAGCACACTTGTACTGTTACACCAAGCACGTGGTGAATGTCAAACACAGACCCCCAAACTCTCAGTCAGTCACTCTGGGACTCAATGATTCTACATACAAGCTGATGTGCTTCAAGAGAATGAAGTCAGGTAGCTCTAAAAATCTGCCACATTTCTATGACACCTAGTAACCACTGTTTTGTATTGTAGAGGTTCTCTTCATTAGCAAGTGGATCACATTTAGGAAATATCAGTACTGATTTCCAATGTCAAAGGACTAACAAACACAGCATCTTCAGGGAGAGGAGAAACATTGCCTAATTTTATCTTCTTTCTTTCTGGGTAGGAAAACTTTTTCATTTACATTTCGTTTTGAAAATCCATCTGCAATACTATTTTGGCAGGGACTGCATTTCTATTGAGTTGGGTGCAGAGTTGGACTTTTGAGCTTCACTTTTGTCTGTCTAACAGCAAAGCAGAGTTAAGGATAAAATTTCATTTTTCTAGTGAGCAGCAGTTACATCACTGACCATTGAATTGAGGCACTTGTATCAGAGGCACAAGAACAAACTGCAGACTGGTCTGAAACCACAACTAAACCCCAAACCACATCAGCTCTTAAGGAGGGCAAAACTCATTAAAGCTTGGAGCCACTGGTGGGAGTAAAGCCTTCTTCATTCCCTTCCCCCTCAAATCAACACAAGTGCAGTTCTATCAAACTCATGACACAAATCCAAGATGAAGTGGCAATGAGAATAATAGATATCACTTCAACACTGCCACACCAGTACTTCTGCTGCTCTGGCCCTGAAGACCGGCTTCTTTTTGGATGACAAGAACTCTTTCCTCATGGGAATGAATCCTTCAAAGCATCTGAGATTAATATTTACAAGCAGGAAATCTTTAACAACTTGAAATTCAGTACCAAGACAGACAACATATATGATTGATGCACCCCAGGCCAGCTGCACCTGACTGGTGTGCTGCATGGTTTTGAAAAGAAAACTGCAGAGGCCTTTCAACATTTTGGGAGGTAGCGGAGAAGCAATAGCCTGGACTACTGGCTTTTGCCCAGGGACATCCCCTAGCAAGAGCCCTACCACAGACCTCCCTCAGCTGCTCCCCTGCAGGGCCCGCCTTGCCCTCAGCCTCCCCACGGAACATCCCTGGCTGTATCCAATATGAGCCAGGGCCCTGCCGCACCTGCTCCAAAGGCCGCAGCTGCCCCAGAGCCCAAGGGCTGCAGGAGGCATGACTGCCCTTGCCAACATCACAGCTCTGACAGAAGCTGAGAGCAATTCCCACTGCTTTATACCACACACACACACACACACTTCCCCCTCCCCTCCTGCACTGCAAATCCCATGACGGGATGCAGCACCACTGCTGCAGCTGGCCCTGGGCACCTGCACTGCAGCAAGGAAGGCCCTTTCCAGGCCTAACCCACCTCGGTTCTCATCTCAGCTTGGAGCCTTGGAGGCCCAGCCAAACCTTCCCCAACTTATCCTTTCCACACAGGAAACAGCTTGACACTGCACCCCACTGAGAGTGGCAAGAGTTAATGGCAATTTTACTCACCTCAAGTAGTCTGGTTGGTTGGCTGTTGCAGAGCATGTAGAGGCAATGGAAGTATCTTTTGTTTCGCCTGCAGAAAAGTAGGATCTTAATTATAAGGTCTTTAGATATCCAAAAACACCCACTTGATGGACTTGAACAAGTCCTTTTAGAGCTTCCTTCTCACAGCATTTTATCATAGGAGGGCACATGTGACCTTCTCCACAGTAGCCAGTCCCAGGGTTTAGAAAGAGGATGGCCACTTTGTTCTACAGGTTCTGCATTGCTACATGGTGTAGCAGAAGTATAAACAGAAGTGTCAAAGTGGTAATTAAACTGGACAGAAATAGCAATAGTCACAGTATGTTCAATACAGCTGGTAAGCTTTGGGGTGGGCATTTCATTTCCAAAAGTGCATTTGCTCTCATGGCTCAGTCCACACAAAAACTTCAGCCTAAGCCCCAACTTGAAACACAGTACAGATTTTTCCAACAGCAGCTGGGCAGAATTTTCTAACTCGCTTCTGAAGAACAATGCTCACATCTTTAGAGACTCAAGCAGGAATCTTTCCAAAAGACATCCCAAGGTTTGCAGCTACCATGTGTATGTGCAGAAGAAATGTGCAAAGACCGTCTCAAGGCACCTGTCTCTACAAGCACAGCACCACTTGCAAGAGCAGACATGCCTCCAGGCTAAAAAACCCTTGTCATTTGCAAGCTCAACCTCCAAAAGGGACAAGACATAGATTTAACAAAGCAACTGAACTCTGCCCTACTGGGTGTGTCCCTCTGATGACAAATCAAGTGCTCCTTGTGGATTTTCTGGTTAGCTTTTCAATGCTGTTTTCAGTCTGTACCACTTCTAGACCTATTGAAGAAAGAAATTCTGCAGCTAGGATGGAGAGGAGCTCCCAGGCCACTTCAAACTACAACTCCAGCAAACCACAGTCCAGGTTTTGTAGCTTCCATTGTGTTTCCATGGAAAGGCTGAGTTCAACAAACAACGATGAAATCATTGAGATGCTTACATGTTTCAGTAAACTAGTCTGCAGTAAATGTCTGACAGGTTTCTATTGCCAGCATGCAGACTTGAAAAGCTGCTGATGGAAAAAGTGGTGGCTCAATCAACTGTCTGAGTCAACTGTGTGTTTACTAGAAATCAAATGAAAAGAAAAAATCCAATCCCTGTGACTTTCTAGCGCCTGGCTCTTCCTTTTAACCAGGTTCTCCCAACAGCAATCTATTGGACATTTCTTTCTTCTTGATTGGTTTTGCACTACAGAGGGAGAATTTCTAAAAATTAAGGTAGTTTTAGATAAGGTTGCAGCAGCACAGATTTCTGGCCTTTGCTGCTGCTGTCTTTTAAACCAAGAGTTACAATGGAATGCAATGGCAGAAAAAAGAGTCTTGGTTTTTCATGACCATCAAGCAAGGAATAATGGTAGAGCAGAAATGTAGAGCAGTGCCTTCATGTATGCAGCCTTCAAAGCTGCCTTTTCAGCAGGTGCAAGAACACAATTATCTACTTGAGAACACTGTCCAAGAAGGATGTTCCCATAAGAGATAAGGCAGCACAAGGGGAATTTAAGAGAAGCACAGATGGAATGAAGGAAAGCACCAGCCTTGGCCTAACAGTGCTGAAGGTTTGCAATTAGGTCACCAGACAAACATTCCACTGGAGAGACTGTGGGTAAGGGAATAAATGCTTCCATCACTTCTAGCCCAAGGTGTGGGAACATTTGTGAGCACCCTGTGGATCCAGTATAAAGGTGGTACTTTCAGAGCAACTTGGGAACCCCCACCACCAAGAAGACCAGAATGAAGAAGGACCAATTGGACAACACAGAATCCAGGTGGTACTGATATCTTCCTACTTAATGTCTCTCTCTTCCCCTCACCCTGCCTCTCTTCCCTAATTTCTTTTTATCTCCCTAGTTTGTATTAACTGTTAAATAACATTTTTCCTATTGACACTGGAAAAGGGCTGCACTTGCACCTTAATTTGGGCAGAAGCTTCTCTTAATAACCAAATCTTTACACCACAGTTATTCCCCCAGCACTTAGGAAAGGCAGCACATTAATACCTTCATCGAATTCTGAGGGACACAACTGCTTCAGCCTCCCCAGTTGGTTTTTCTTTCCATTAGAACTGGGGATCTCCTCCTGCACCCCAGAAGGCTCTGGGATGCTAGAACTCTGAAATTTGTCTTGTTCTTGCACCTCACAGGTGCAGGGGGAAACGGAGCCAACACTTGGAGACATGTTCAAAGTGGAAGTGGATGTGGAAGGCAGCAGCAAGGAAGAGAAGTGGCCATCAGCTGCTGGCTGGTTGTAACTGAGCTGGCGAGCAATTCTCCGCTTCTTGCTCATCACAGGACCGCTAAAGTCAGAAGCCAGAGGCCGTTTCTGCAACAATAACCAAAGAACTCATTCATCTATGTCCATATATTTATCTTTCTAGATCAGGTTTCTCTCCCATTCTGAAAAAGTAGCATTTCTGAACTGGCAGTGCTTGAAAATACATCTTAACTGAAAACAACATTGAAACCAGGAAATACTGCAGGTAAATACATTCTCTATCTCACTCCTACTTTCTCATCTTAAGACTTAGCAAGTCTTTCTCCAAGTTGTGGGAGAAAGACACTCCCTTCAGCACCTCTATCAAAGGTTTCCCCACAGAGGGAGAGGTCTGGTCTGTTTTGTCTAGTTCTCAATTTCCACTAGTACACACCAGGAAGAGACTCAGCTTTTGCTGTCACACACCCACATGATTTAGTAAAGAGGCACCTGACTGGCTTCAGGTTTTATGTGGTAAAGACGGGATTAATCTTCACTGCCACAATCTGTCAGTACAAGGTGGGATGGTTGGTTGTGAATTCTCATCAGGCTGAACAAAAACCTCAGTCACATGTAAGGAATTCCTGTGCTTTCAACAAGAGTGACCTTCACTCCAGTAGCCACCCCACACTTTACACTCAAAAGCTCATAGCTGGGGATCTTGAAATTTTTATAAGAGAGTTTCACAAGTGGTGACTAAGGAGCCCTCACTTTTCCTCAGTGCCCTTCAATCATCTCTCAGCACCTCCCAAGGACTTTCTCAAAGGTGCTGGCTCCAAAGCCACAGCACACGGCCACAAGCTCCCCACTCCCACTGCAAACTTCAGGGCCGAGGATGGAGTAGAACAGGACAGCCATGCTGTGCCCAGGCAGAGTGAGACAGGAGAAAAATAAAGGCAGAGAAAAGAGAGACACAAGAGAGAATATCAAGGGTCTGGAGATCCTGCATTGGTCCTGACATGTGCATAGTCTGGAGCTGGAGTCAACAAAGAGAGTGAAAGAGAGAGAGAGAGAGAGGGGAAAGAGAGTGAGAGGGCCCCATCTGCTCCACCATGCTGCAGCCTCTCATGTACAGTAGATTTTTCATGTGCTTCTGTCACACATGCACAGCTAATCCTTTGAGCCCTTCTGCAGGGAATGAGTTGAGGGTGGAGACTGAGCTCAAGGCTCCAGGCAGAGCAGCAAGTTGGCTCAGGACGCTGCTGCTCGAGCCCTGCAGGAGCCTCTCTTCTGATCACAACCTTCCTGTGCCAGCAGTCAGAATTACTGACTAACGTGCTTTGGCCTGGTCCTGCACATTCCCAGCACAGCTTTTACACCAGCAGCAAGTGTGTGAAAGCTATTTAGCAAGTGTGCTGCAACTTCATACACACTCCAGAATGTTAAAAATGCACAAACTACCTGAGCAGGCCTTGCTGAAGCATCTCTCTTAGAAGCTTCCAGAGATGGCTCTTGGCTGGTGCTGCTTGTGTTCTGAGATGGAGCTGTTTTTCTGGAAGGATGGTGCAAGAGTTCAGGCTACAAGCTCTAAATGGTCAACATCCATAAGTCTTTCCTTGCCGGTAAATCTGACCTTCAGTGTCACTACTCAAGAAAACAGCATGAAGATGAGTTGAGGCAACTTTAGGCTGGATGTCAGCAAAACATTCTTGCCCCAAAGGGTTCTTGAGCCCTGGAATAGGCTCCCCAGGGCACTGGTCAGTGCAGCAAGGCTTCAAGAAGTGTTTCAACAACACTCTTGGGCATATGGTGTGATTCTTGCAGTGTCCTGTGCAGGGCCAGGAGTTGGCCATCAGTTGGATCCCAATGGGTCCCTGCTACCTCAGCGTACTCTAAGAATCTAGGCTTCATTTCCTAGGGCCTTCTTCTGAAAAGACTCTTCTCCTTCCCCTAAAGACTGAACTTACCTGGAAAGTATCAACTTCAAATTCTCTCTGTCTACATCAGTATAGCCAGGCCAATTGTTCTGAATGCTTTCCAACAGATATTCCTTCAGATTGTAGGAATTATCCTTTAGATTCAGGTTGGCTACCTACAGGCAGACATTTAAGAGAACAACCATTCATGATGGGTGCTGTATGTAAACTAAAGCAATAGAATTGGTCCTCAACAATGATTTGTGAACACCCACTTTGAACTAAACAACATCTTTTGGTAGAGAGATGAATGATTCCCTTATTGCATGAGTTTTCAGCTATATTAAAGTGTCACCAAATAGAAACAACCACATAATTCTATTTCTATCTAGCAAGTGTTCCTTGGAAACCAACATGTAGTGCTACAAGACAGAACTGTGGTCAGGCCCAGAGTCCCTCTTCATGTGGCAGAGCCAGGGTTCATTCCAGCAAAGTGCTGCCATGAGAAGACCATGCACATGCCTTGCTGTATTCCTTTGAAAACCAGCGAGCTTCATATCTTCCTCAAGACAACTACCAAGTCTACTCAAAAAGGTAAAATGCAGTAGTAAAACCTCAAGATCACTAATATCAAAAGGGCTGGTTTAGGCTTCACCACTTCACACCTGCTCAGAGTTCCATAGAAAAGCCCACAGGAAAGTTTGACCCCTACAGCACACTGAATACATGATCAACACATCACCACCATCTGTAAAAATTTACCCTTTTTTTCTCCTTGAAAACATGCTAAATATTGCTGATTTGGGTCAGTGATGATGTCTGTCTGTCAACAGCTTAAAAAAATGTAAAAGTAACAAAGCTACTTTGAATTAGGAATTCCTGTCTTAAAATCAGAACTAAGGTTGTGTTTGAAGGGAAGCAAGAGTGTGTGTACCACATCTCAGCCAGCTCAGGCTGCCCATTTTACATTTATACAAAAGAAACTCCCACTTGCTCTGCTATCTGGAAAAGCCTGAGCAAGGCATTTGAGTGTGCAGTGCTCACACAGCCCTTTCAGAATGCAAACCAGTACCTTGAGGCAGTTCACACCTCCTACAGGACATTACCTCCAAAGCAATCTTAAACATTGCAGTGGAACAGGAGAAAATGTTTTCACCCTCTACCTTCTAAGGAGCTGAGCTGTGAAATTTTTCTAATCTATTTGAAATCTAAATGGGCTTCCTCACTTGGGATGGTAGAATATGGCTCTCATGAAATTGTCAATTTGTGTCTTCAGCAGGCAAAAACCCTGCCACTGCCCTGAGCAACCACAGCAACAAACTTCAGAATGACAAGGAATGAAATTCTTCAATCAAGTTCTTAAAAAGTCCCTGTGGGATCAACTGAAACTGTGTCCATGCTGAATTTTCCTGCCTTGACTATGTTCCAAACAATTTTTCCTACCTAAAAAAGAAATATTCCTACTTGACATATAGCCGAAGGGAACAGGGAATATTTAAAACAGAAGGACAAAACTACTGCATCTTTCCATGGGTGTGCATCTTCTAACTGGCTATCCTAAAGAAATAGCAGTAGAAGATAGAGCAGCACTGGAGAAGGCACTGAATAACATTGTTCCAAGCAAGATGAAGACTCAATCTACATGACAGGAAAGAAACCCTGTGCTCAAATTTAGGCTACCACCTTTATCATGGAGATTTTGCCTGGAACACCTTTTCCTGGCAGGCAATCCTCACAGATCCCAGCAGAAGCCAAGTACCATTGAGAGGTCACCAAGCTCTGTTAAAAGGAAATGCTGCCCTGTGCACTTTCCAAACGTCTCTCCTCTCAAACTTATCCTAGGAAATTTTAGGTACCACTACAAACCACTTCACAAAATCAAGGAACCCCTGTGAAGTTACTGCATGAAACAGTTCAACAGTGCTAGGAAAAGAGAGAGGATTAAAAGAGGCATGAGCAGCAACAACCCTACAAAGTGTTACTCATTGCCAGCTATTCTAGCAAAACACCAAGACCTCAAATATTTTGAAGTTTTCTTTCCTTTTCCTCACATGGACTTGCAGCTTGAAGAATCTGGACTATGTTGATGGACAAACTGAACTTAGGTGTATGCAGCATTCTATAAGCCACTGCTTAGTTTCTAATTTCTAATTGAAAGAGGGATGAAAGAAACAAGTGAAAATGAGGAAGAAGAGAGGAGTACTGTGGAAAAATTGCCGTCACAAACTCCACAATCTCACCTGATGGAGGATCTTTCCAAGGGTACCCTTGTCCTTTTGCTTGATTCCATCTCTCTGCAAGCGAGCGAGTAACTCTGGCTTCTTGTAAGCCCTCAGAGCAAGTAAGTGAATCACCCTGTCCTTGTAGGGTCGGTGATAAACAGCAGTGCAAGGATTTTGTTCACTGTCTGCAGGCTTCATGGGCTTTGCTTTTTTTCCCTCTGGTTCAGGACATGAAGTGCTCGGTTCAGCTCTTTTGACATCTGCTTGTTTTCCCAAAGGAAAGGAAAAGAGATAAAGAAGTGTGAAATGGGAGGTTGGGAGAAGTCAAGAAACTTGATTTCAAAGGATGATGGAATTCTTGGGGACAGAGCTGGACTTAAATATCCACGTGGATCCCTTCCAACACAGCGCATTCTCTGATTCTGTGACAAATCCCACTCCCTAACTGATACTGCATGGAGCATGCTGCAGAGGCACCCTGTAGCCTACCAGCAACCAGATCTGTCTCACCTGTGTTTCTCAGTGCCAGCCCAAAGCAAAAGTGGCCCCAAGTTCCATGATTGTCCCACCACTGCCAGTCCTCAGACCCCAGTCACTAAATGTTAAATATGCCCTTAGGATCTATGTAAATCACCACCAAGAATCACACAAATCATCATTCACATGTGAAACGGAACATCCCCAATGAGAAATTGGCAAGGTGAATTTTGTCTCTCCAAAAAGCCAGGATGATGCTGCCATAAAATGCTCTAGACTGAGCTAAAGCAGGGCAAGAGCTGCCCTTCCAGTGGCAGGCATGTCCCTGCAGGCAGGGGACTGCAGCCACAGCCAGGTGAGAGCTCCTTTTTCTCAGGGCAGCTGGCTGTGCCTGGCTCAGCTCACTGCTGCAGGCAGCACCACTGAGTGCCTGCAATGGCAATGTCCACCTTGTGTGTGCCTGCAGCCAGGCTCCTTGGGGAAACAACACTCACAACAGATAAAAAACAAACGACACCACCTAAGCACATTGGAGTGTTTTCTTTGTGGGAAATGACAAAATCCATGGGGAAGATGACATCATGACTTTCCTTTCACTTGCCTTGAAAAGAACCCAAGAGGGTATTGTGGCAACAGTCACCTAATAATGACCAAGACAAAAAATGAAATCAAGCAAAGTTTTGCATATTGACCTGATGAAATTCTCTATGCAACTTCCTCAAAGTCATTTTCTTTCAATTTCCTTTTAAGGTGAATGGTTTAGCCCAGTGTGCTTGCAGTGGTGCAACCCTTGACTTCAATGCTCAAAATTCCAAGCCGTCAATCAGCATGGGAACAAGGAAGAACGAGCAGGCTTCCTCAGGGGAAAACAGGCCAATGGCTGAATGCCATTGTGACAAGGGATTGCAAAGCTGACCTAAGAGCAAAGCACCTGCAGTTGAGATCTCTGAACACACCCCCTTGTCTCAAGAATATGCTGCAAAAATGAGTTACCATGTTTCAAGTCTTACAGACATGGAGCAAAATATGAAAAGCAACCATACCTCCAAGTGGGTTAGACAATTTGACAACCTGCGCACTTCCAGTGTGTGACGCCTCTCTGGTATTTGGCTAAATGGAAAAAGAAATCTTCTGTAAAACGTTCAGCCCGCACTCCATTCCTGCTGATTAAGCAGGCCCTTAATTTTAAACAAGAGCTGAATTTGGAAAGGTTTACTCTCCTATCAACTACAAAGGGCTGCTTTGACACAATTCTCCCTCTGAAAGCAGCCAGCTACAAAACTGCCCTGAGAGCGTGACCGTCACTTAGCCTCTAATGCAGCCAAGCATTCAAGTACCAAGTCATCCTTTCCCAGTTGCTGGAATTTATGGGCACCAGCTTCCCTTGAAATCAAGTGCCTGAGTGCAATTGAACCGGCCAGCGCTCAGCTAACAAACCTGGCAAGAGTGGTTCACAGAAAGATCACAAAGTTGGGGCAGGACCCCACACTGGGATTTATTTGGAACTTAGGAAACCCATTCTGGAGTCAGCTCCAAGAACAACTTCAACTGCAAAATATCAACTTCATTTGTAAAAGGCATGGAAACCCTTGCTCATTTCCTCAGCTTAAGATGCAATTATTTGCATAGATGTTAAAATGGAAACAGTTTATCCTAAGTTAGTCATATGTGACAAAATTTGGCTTGCTTGGCTTGAACTCATCACTTAGTCCTGAACGTGCTGCATTCCACTGGAGCTTAAAAATCACTAAAATGTCTTTTGGCATAATCATATTTTTTAACAAAAACACCTGACTGCCATGCAAGGGCTTCATTCTGAAGGCAAAACTGGCTGTCAGTGAAGCTGAAAAGCTGCTCATCTGAAATTGGCTTGAACTTTTCAAGAAATAGGAGGATCACTTGCAAATATCTGTGAAAGCAATATTCAGCAGTCTTTTAGAAATCCTTCTACATTTTGCTTGCGAGACTGTTCATCTTTCATCCATGTCACTTGCACAAAGTGCTGCCTCAACACAATTCCATTAATATTTCTGTTTCATTCATCACTACTGGCAGAGCTTGGGACAGGGAGAGGACATGAAGGGGAACAGGGAGTCACCTGAACTTCACATCCTTTTACATCAGCTTAACAAAGGACTATGCTCTAAGAGCATCTGTGCATTTTATAGAAGAAGGGAAACCAATCATGTAAGCGACCAAAACATGAGCCTGAGTTACTTATGCAGTTGTTCATTGTTTGTTTAGCCTGCATTTTTTCCTACCTAATTATCTTAATTAACTTTGTAAGTAATTGTTTAATTAATCATAAGCAGTATATTAATCATAAGCACTGTATCAGTCTTAAGCACTGTCATTTCCCACTTTAGAGAGCAGGTAGCTAAGAACCTTTTGGCAGTCAGCTGTCAGAACTGGATTGTTAGATCACCAGAAGTTGTCGTTTTCCAAAACTAACCCTGATAAGCTTCAATGAACAAAGCCTGAGGTGTAAAAGGCTGGACACCTGGAATCTACGCTTCATAGCCCTCCAAGAACATGTTGGAGTAACCAGGAGACAAACACTAATAAAAACATTTCTGCCTCAGAGCTCAAAACAACCCATCTGGGAAAAAGTTAATCAACAGATTGAAAAATGTGGGCTAATTGAAATGAGAAAGGTGACACCAATATCCAAGCCAATACAATAGAAAAGTAGTTAATGAGAAGAATGATGTCATTTAGAAGCCATGAACAGTAATTTCTTGGTTTGATAAAAAGGTATGAATAAGTGGAAAAGCTTTGGAATTGGCATGCATGTGGCAGAAATTCTCCACTGTGCACCAGAGCCAGGAATAAAGTAATGGCTACTCCTAATATCAAAAAAAATTCCTGTTCAAGGGCTTCATTTATCCTTACATTTTCAGTGACCCCATTAAAAACATGGGACAATGAGAAATCCATGCATTTGGACCAAAAGCCATGCCCAGCGCATGAGGTTACTGAATGTCACAGCATGGGGTACTTCCAGCTTCCACTGGTACCTCCTCCATGTCATCCTTGAGAGCCACTTCCATCAGGGAACCTGTGACTTCCACTGGCACCTCCTGGGTGTCATCCCTGTGAATCGCCTCCAGCGGGGCGGCTGCCTCAAAGGGGCCCTTGGAGCACCAGTGGGGCCCCAGCCCTGCACAGCAGGACCCGCAGGGTCAGCAGCCCCTGACACCAAAACCACGGCCAAGCCCCCACGGTGTAAACGCCCAGAGCCCGACAGCCACCCCTCACCTGTTGGTCCTGGGACCTCTGGGTCACCCTGACGGGCATGGCAGTGGTGCTGGGGGCCCTGCGGGGCGCAGTGTGGATTAGAGCCCTGTGGAACATGGTGGATCGTGCCCAGGCTCTCTGCTCGGCCATCCGGCTCTGCCTTGGCTGCTCCCGCTCCCACACAGCCACTGCTTCTGTTGAAAAATCTGGGAAATGTAAACTTGATGTTAGGAAAAGGTGTTCTTTGCTCTTTGGCCTTTATGGCTTCCAAGGCTCATCAACAAGAAGGGAGATTATTTCCATGAAACAGAAAGTAGCCAACAAGCTCTAAGTGATGGCCAGGTGTTGGAAAGGCAAATTACTTCTTGGCTGAATTGCCTTTTGAAGGTGTCGGGCTTGACAGGCAAGAGTTATCTCCGACCTAGGGGAGCTTAGCAAGGCTTGGGCAGAAGAAAGTACCACTGATGGTGGACACAAAGAATGCAGAACTTATGGGCACAAGGACATTTGACAGAACCCCCAAGACAAGGAGCCAACTACTAAAGCCAAAGCAGCAACTGTGCTGAATCAGCTCTGGTGGGGTAAAAGGGAGTTGCAGCAGGGCAAACCATGGCCACTCACTCCAGAAAGCTCTCACTAAGAAGAGAGAGACAGAACATGCAGACTAATTAGCATGAGAAGTGACAGGATCATAATCTAATAGTAGAGGGAATAGTAATTATGCGAAGAACTAGGTAACTTGGAGACAAAGGACACTAATTGCTTTAGTTGATAAATAGTATAAATACTAAAACATTCTGATTCTTGTCACGGTGGCTTTGTGGATTTATCACTGAGCCCCCCTTTCTGAACAGAACTGTAAAGAATTACCTCCACTCAGTGCGTGGATTGGCCTCTTGATCACCTTGTGCTAGAACCAAGCAATTTGGAGCAACACTCCCTAGCACTGTGACACCCCCACTCTTGCTGCAGCCACGGAAGGGTCTGAGCGGGCCTGCTGTGTGCCGGTGACAATGGCCACG